TAATATTGCAAAATAGTTTAAATCAGAATATAAAATATCAACACAGGCAATTAAGATTCTGGATAATAAATCTTCGCGAAAAATTTTATATCCATCTAAGGAAGGAATTCAGGGTTCATTAGATCTGGCTTTTATCTTATATCAATATCTAAAATCAAGTGAAAAGACAAATTTCTATCAATACACTTATGGGTATCGGATAACCCATAAACTTCAGATGGATGATTAACTATTATAAAACCCTTTTCTGACACTCAGACTATATATTTATCAAAAATCTCTTTAGGATGATAAGCACCTAGAAGAGATATCATTTTTATTATTAGACAAATATTTGAAATATATATGATTATTATAGCCAGGCTTATAGTCAAGATCTGCTAAATCAGAAAAGAGTCTGGTTGCTTTATTTATTATTTTAGGGTGAGGTTTAGCATTTTTTTATGCAAGTAGTATAGTGTTTTGGGCGAAACTAGTTTCGCCAATTTGATCTGCAAAAATCTTTTCAAATTTAGGGTTTCAGAGGTTTCAGATAGTTTCAGATCATAAAAAAATTCTTTGGGCGAAACGTTTCGAATGTTGAAAAATAGTTTCGCCTGAAACACTAAAGTAGCATGATAAAAGCAAACTTTTCAGTATAGATAAATAGAAAGTTTTCAGTATATGTACACTAATAAAATCTCAAGTTTAAAATAAAAATTTTATAAAATTTCTCGTAAATATGCTCGCTAACTAAGTGCTAGGTTAGAAGTAGTATACAAAGTGATCAATATAATAATATTTAAAAGTAATCGATGTAGTAGTATTCCAAAGTATCCTGAAGTAGTAACTATACGAGAAAAAGTTTTAGGAATGCAAAGATGAAAAATAAGGTATAAATTTGATAGTATCTCAAGTTAAAATTATATATAGAAAGAAAATAAGAAATTATAACTTAGGATACTACTGCTAATAGGCAGGAAAGGAATCAGGAAGGCAGAAAGGTTCAGGAGAATATACGAAAAAAGGTATGAAAGTAATATAGCCTGAACTAATTCAGCATTTTATGCCTCAACTGGCAATCAAGAGATAACAATCAAGAAAGAAAATATATAGATTATAAATTCAGCACTTCGTGCCTTAATCTGGCAATCAAATAAGGGTAGGATTGCAAGTAAGTTCAGCACTAATTCCTGGCAATTACATAAGCTAATCTTAGTACTTCTGATTCTTTAACCATCAGATCCTCCAGTTAGAATCTAAAAAATAGTAGGAAAGTGACAGAGAAGTGACGAAAAGGTTATAGAAGTGTATCATGCACATGATTTTTTTTGACATAGTAAATTACAATAATTCAACTAGCCATAATTTTGGGTGACCTAAGGACGCTGAAATTAATTAAAATAAAGTCATGTGATTTGACTATGCTACTTGACTACAACATGATTTTTAGCAAACAATGCTGGCCTAGCATCATAGTTATAAAAAGACTGCAGAGCAATAAAATCAAGCAAATAGCTAGAAGAAAATAAAAAGAAGATAGAGTAATAAAATCAAGTAAATATCTACAAAGCAATAAAAAAGCTATAAAGCAATAAAATCAAGTGGATAGTAATAAAGCAATAAAAAGGTCATAAAACATGAAAACAAGTAAGTAGGTAACAATCTACTCATAACTAGATAACAATTTATTCATAACTATATAACATTATAACTGAACTGGATAACACTCTTATAAGAATGTTATCCAGTTTATTTTATTAATATTTTATTAAAAACTTTAAAATATATGATTAGAACAATAGCATTAAACTCTATGTAAAATTTTTTCTTTCTTGATAATCATGTTCAAATAATACCTTATATTATTTCTAATAAAGAGTTAATTAAATATCACTTTTATATTATAAAAGTTTGCAACTTTTTATCTTTTATAACTGATCACAAATTTAACAAAACACTCTTTATTTTTAATATGAAATATTAGTATATTTCTATTAGCAAATTTAAAAAATCAAAAGTAAATCAAGAAACAAAATATAACATTCAGTAACTAAAAATTATTCATTTTTTCACTTAATTCAAAAACTTGCTCTATTTACTTAAGCTTATACCATTTTAGAAGATTCTGTACTCATATAAAGAATAGTCTAATTTAAAAAATCATAAAATTATAAACTAACACTTTGATTGATACTGAGAATTCTCTTTCAAATATTAATAATAAGTTAGAATTTGAACTTTATCATTAACTGAAATATCTTCTTCAATCCTTTTCTTATTATAAAAGATAAAAATTTTATTTTTAATATTTTATATAAAATGTGATATTTTATGAAGAAATGTTCAATTATTTCAAAAAATACATTAATAAAGAATTTTTCTATATCGCTAAAATAGTAAACATCATTTTTCCTTCTGATTTAAATGACGAATATAATATTCTAATAGAATAAATTCTTTTTAATTAAATAAAATACTACCTTTAATATTTTTATAATCTTTTATAATCATTTTTGCTAATCAGCCAAAAAAATTCATCATCAATATTTATGTAATTATTCTGCAATTACTATTCTTATAAAAGTGAAAAAATCTTGATCTCTTTACATTTTCTTTTCTAGTTAAATAAATAATTAGTTAATTTTTTTTATAGAATTATCTTAGGTATAAAATAATTTTTTTCAATATAATATAAAATTTTATATTTTTTATTTTATTTGTTAATCCTAAAAAATAATATTTTTTACTTTGATTTTAGAGGATACAGGATAGGATTTTTTTTTAATTAATTATAAATTAGTTAGTATTCCTTAAACTATAAAGTATGCAAATTTGTCTACGAACATAAAAAAATGTATTAATTTTTTAATAAAAAATTAAATATTAATGTTAATAATATAATTATAAAAATATAGTTTAATATATATTTTATCAACTTTATTAGAAGAATTTAAGTTTATTAAGAAGTTTTTTAAATAATTCAATTTTTAAAATTAAGTTTTGAAAAATTTATTATAATAATTTTTTAAAAATTTTCTTAAAATTTATATGTTTAAAACTAATTGAATCATTTTATTATTAATAAAAGTCATAAAATTTCTTAGTAAATTATAAAAACTGTAATAATAAAATTATTTTTCATGATAAATTTTATAATATTTTATTATGATTAATATTGCTAAAAATAAATGTTAATAGATGGTTAAAGGTTAATAATAAAATTTTTTAATTTATAATTTTTTTAAAAATTACAAATTTTTAGCTTTAAATAACCTTAAATTATTTATTATATAATTAAAAATAAAATTTACTATAATATTATATATCTATAAAATTAATTTAAAAAAAAAATTTTTTAATTTTAATATTATATAATAGTTTATAATTTAATAATAGTTTAAATTTTTTGTTAATTTTAATATTTGATATAGTATAAATATTTTACAATAATTTAATATTTATAAAAGTTGAAATATTTTGTAAAGTTTAATTATTTTATAAAAGTTTAACTTTATAAGAGTTTAATCATTTCATAAAAATTTAACCATTTCATAAAAGTTTAATCATTTCACAAAATTTAATTATTCATAAGAATTTAATTATTTTCTAAGAGTTTAATCATTTTGCAAGAGTTTAATTATTTTGCAAATTAACCATTTTACAAAAGTTTAATTATTTCATAAGAATTTAATTATTTCATAAAAATTTAATTATTTTTACAAAAGTTTAATATTTTACAATAGTTTAAATATTTACAATAATTTAAATAGTATTAATTAAAATTTTAACATTTTATATATTTTAAAATAGGCTTAAATAAGCAACCTTATGAACCATAAAAATATATGATTAATAATATTATTATGAAAAAAACTGCAAGTTAAAAAAAAATAATTATTAGTCAAAACTTTGTCAGTTTCTGATTAATAATAGATGATATTAAGATAGTTTCAGAATTATTGATACTATTATTTTTCTTCAGTCTGCTAATATTTTCAACCACTTTATTATATGGTTCTTTTAGAACCTATTCAGCTTCGCTAGATATTTTTGAGATTTATTCAATTAAATAAGCATTAGCTCTCTTTTGAGATCTACTTTTTGAAGGAGAAGTCTCTTATTAACAATACTAATTAAACATAAAAGATAATTATATTAAATATATTTATTCAAAATATAATTAAGAAACTTTGCAAATTTTTAGGTAGATGCTATACAATAGTTATATAACATCAATTGGATATATTATATCAATTTAAAAGCCATAGAATTTTAAATATTTATATGTTTAGTAGACTTAAAAATCTATAATTTGAGCAGCTTTTACTTAATAATCTAATTTGATAATTCATTTTTTAATTGTAAATATTTGTATAATTTTTCTTTATGTAATTTGAAGAGAAATTAGTTAGATTTTTTTTTTACTTATCTATTTATATAATTGTTTAGGCTGAATATTTAATATTCTGCTTGTCTTATAAATATTATTTGTAGTTTTATTTTTTTTTATAATAATTAATTATCTTTAAATTTTTCTCAGTGTCTTAATAATTTTTTTATTATATACACTTCTATTTCCAATTATTATCATTTTAATTTACAGTATATTGATTTTTTTTTTTATAAAAAAATTAACAATTTTCTTGCATTTTAAAATAATAACCATTATAAAATTATAATAAAAAACAATTTATTAAGAACATTTTATTTAATTAAAAAAAATCAATTTTTCTATGAAAATTTATTCATCTTTTAAATTTATGCACTATTAAAATCTGAAAGTAACATATAAATTAATTTACAGGTAAGGCCATACTAAATTATAATTATGTTTTAACAAGAATTTTTATTAAAAAAAGTCATGGGAGGGTGGGAACCAAAAAAGAAATTGCAAATTATGATTTTACGCGAAAAATGATAGGGAGATTATCATTTATTAAATATTTATTATAAAATCTTTAAAAGTAAGAAGGGATAATAATTATTTATTTACAAATTATAAAAAACAACTATACACGTTATATTTTTCGCATTTGAATTTTACCCTTTGTAAAAAAATCTTTCACCACAATAGTAACATATTTGGGAATGTTCAACTTTGCTTGAGTAATATACTTGTTCAATTGGAGAATTACAAGTTAAATTCATTCTAACAAAAATTTTATTATATAGGGGATGATCTTCTGGGACAATAGGTGAACCACAAGTATATACAAATATTTCCATAGCCATTTGCAATGATTCAAAGTCAAAAAACAAATCATGAACCCTTGAAGCAACTAAAATTCCATTTAGAGCAAGTTCTTTACATTCGTGATGATCTTTTTTGGTAGTATTATGTCCATATAGTGAATTAAAATCCTGATAGTGATCAGGATCTAAATCAATAATTTGTAAATTAGAATCTTCCATTTTTAAAAAAAACAATTTGTAAATAAAAAAAATTCTTTTAAACGAGAAATATTAAAAAACTATTATTTGAAATTTGCAGATCTGGTATATAATGTAATTAATTAAAAATTTCTTGTGAATAATCGAATATGACTACAAATTATTTTCACATTTTTTAATCTTAAACAATTGTGTAAACAAATATTTAATATTAAAAATCAATAAAATTAAAATGTTATTGAATATAAATACAATTATACTTGAAATAAATATTCTCAAATTAAACAATGTGAGACTTCCAAAGTTGGATTTCTGTTTTTTTATGGTGTAAATTAATATAGTATTAGTTATAATTGGATTTTGTTTTATATTTCGGTAGATCATCAATAAATTTTAAAAAATGACACGATCTTTGAGTAAATTTGCTGCAGTGTAAATTGATATACCAAATAAGATCACTCAAACGGGATACTAAATTACCTAAGTTTTCAGATTCTTAAAACTCAATGATATGATTATAAAGAAGTTTATTTTGAGTATTTGACCCTTGTACAGGTGAAAGATATACACTCCCCTCCAAAAAATATCTGACCACCCATCGATCATTGCAAATCCTAACATATTAAAATTTGAATTACGCCACAACTAATACTT